CTGTTTTTTTTTTTTTTTTTTTTTACACAGAGTTTCACCCTGTCCCCTAAGCTGGAGTGCAGTGGCTCGATCTCAACTCACTGCAGCCTCCGCTTCCCGGGTTCCAGCAATTCTCCTGCCTCAGCCTCCTGGGTAGCTGGGATTACAGGCATGTGCCACCACACCCAGCTAATTTTTGTATTTTTAGTAGAGACAGGGTTTTACCATGTTTGCCAGGCTGGTCTCAAACTCCTGACCTCAGGTGATCTGCCCGCCTCGGCCTCCCAAAGTGCTGGGATTACAGGCTACCACGCCTGGCCCTCTAAAATTAATCTTTAAGTGCCCAAGAAATGTGGTCTTCAGATAAGTTCCCCCGGACCTTTTAATGCTAACCTGTTATGCATACCGCTCTAGGGGTTGAGAGAGGCGAATAGGGGCAAGGTGAAAGGCAGCCAGTCAGGCAACAAAACACCCTGAATTCTGCATGCTTGCTCTTTAAGACCATGGGTCATGCCTGGCTCTTGGCCAGTGGAGACCAAAGGCATGGGATTCTGCAGAAACAGTCACTTGGCCACCAACAAACTAGAGGAAGAAGAGAAATTCCACTACTGCATTGAAGTGAGAATCCTCCAAACATTATTGCTTCCCCACAGGACGTGGCCAGGGACAGGCAGGTGTAGGGAGAACTGCAAGATCAGTCTCAGAACACCTTTAATCCATTCAATTCTCAAAGCAGATAAAGCCCCTCTATCCTTCATGTTTGCAAAGGCAGATCTCCCCCTTGTAAAGAGGCAAAGCACAATCAGGCTCAAAACTGCAGAAAAACAACTGGTTTTACATTGTACAGAAGTCTAGTGCTATTAGGGAGATGAAAGGCAGCTAAGAGGTCTCTCTTTGGCAAGAGCAGTGTGACTCTACCAGAAGACATTCTAAACTAGGTCTCTTCCTAGAAGCTTGCCTGTGAGTTCAACGATAGTTAGGTCATAGGCAGTAAGTTGAAAACTTCCATTTGTTGGCAGCAGGCCAGTTGTTAGAGAGTGACTTGAACTAAGCTTCTAAGTGTTATCATCTTTCTACATCAATAACATCTAACATCTACCTTTCTACATCAATAACATTCTACCTAAAGTCATATGACAGACCGTGGTGGGTGGATCACTTGTGGTCAGTTCAAGACCAGCCTGGCCAACATGGTGAAACCCCATCTCTACTAAAAATACAAAAATTAGCTTGGTGTGGTGGCAGGTGCCTGCAATCCCAGCTACTCAGGAGGCTATGGCAGGAGAATCGCTTGAACCCAGGAGGTAGAGGTTGTGGTGAGCCAAGATCACACCACCGCACTTTAGCCTTGGCAACAGAGCGGAATTCCATCTCAAAAAAAAATTAATAAGTAAATAAGTAAAGCCATGTGGGATTGGGTCATGGTGGAGGCTGGCCTCTACTTGTATCATTCAAGGCTGGAAGAACAGTAAGGAAATTTCCTCTGAAGCCTAGAGAAAGGGCCATCTGCATTATGTAATGACAGAGTGCTTGTAATAGTACCACCTGCTGTAAAACAGAACATGGGAAATACAACTAATGAACTTGTGAAGCCGGCTGAAATTCTTCAGGCAGATTACAAGTTTTTGCAGTACATAACAAGGGTTACAAACAACGAGATAAACTGAAGAAGGAATTGCTGCGTTCTCATGCAGAATTTAGATAAAATGTAGAGAATCCAAGATTGGTCTCTCCACTCACAACATTCTTCAAGTAAGAAATGACTTCAGGTCGTGGGTCTCTATGGATCTTCTTAGCCAAACAAAAGGGCTCTGTACTGCATATAATTTTCTGAATTTTCTGTATATCATGACATTTTGACATTTTAAAAAGGCTTTCTGGGCTGGGAAGTGTTGGAAGTGGACGAAAAGATGTTAACAGACACAAACATACAGTTTGGTAGGAGAAATAAGACCTAGGATTAGATAGATCAGTAGGGTGACTATAATTTACAATAATCTAGTCTCCATTTCAAAATAAGTAGAAGGGGGCCGGGTACAGTGACTCATGCCTATAATCCCAACACTTTGGGAGGCCAAGGTGGGTGGATCACTTGAGGTCAGGAATTCGAGACCAGCCTGGCCAGCATGGTGAAACCTTGTCTCTACTAAAAATATGAAAACTTGGCTGAGCATGGTGGCGCAAACCTGTAATCCCAGCTACTTGGGAGGCTGAGACAGGAGAATTGCTTGAACCCAGGAAGTGGAGGTTGCAGAGAGCTGAGATCACACTACTACACTCCAACCTGGGCAACACAGCGAGTCCCTGTCTCCTAAAATAACATAATGTAACATAACATAACATAATATAACATAACATAACATATAAAAATATAAGTAGAAGGGAAGAATTTGAAAGGTTCTAGCCTAAAGATAAGACAAATGTTTAAGGTGACAGATTCCCCAAGTACATTGATTGGATCTTTACAAATTATAATAATGTATTAAATTATTACATGTACTCCAAAACTATGTACATCTATTATGCATCAATTAAAAATGCACGCATGTTCACACACAGACGCACACATGGACACATACATGAGCACGTGCACGTGCACACACACACCCCTTTCCAGCTGGGAAAAGACTGCCCCCGCAAAGGGTTAGCCAATGCCTAGAGATAAAAATGGCTCAGCCAGGCTTTCATATGCAAGCTAGCCAGTCTGGAGCCTTATTTCCCCTGGTTCATACATTCCAGGGGGCAATCTTCTACTCTCCATTTACCCCTTTTGAAAAGAGTATCTCTAGGTATCTTACCCCGTCTTACCATTTTACATTTGGCATGTGTGTTAGGGGGCATGTAACTACTCTTTTTACATGTTTCCAATAAAGAGAAGCCCACATGAGGAGCCTCACTCAGATCCAGACCCGATGCAAATAAACACACTCTGGATTTTGAACTGAAGGAGTGAAGGATGTGCCATCTCAAAATATGTCAGGTTGGTATATTGATGATTATTTCAAGGGGAAAACACTGGGAAAATTGTAGTTCAGTAAGGGATAGCTGACCAGTCTCTTCTGTATGCAGCAAACCATAAAGATTCTTCTGAGAAGCCCACCCTACCTGTACCAGGGTGAGAAAATAGCCCTTATCACCAGAGACTGGAAACTGGGGGCTGCCATGGACCTGAATGAACGCACTTAATGAAGTAACCCTATCTCCCACTAGTTTTATACCCCTTCCATATCACCTAGTGACTCCCCTAGAAATTGATGCCCCCACACAGATCCCCTTTGTCCTGTCATGTCTTCTCAGATTTATTGTTCTTTGTCAAAAAAGTATAAAACCATCTTACTTTGGCCACTTCTTTGGACTTCACTCTCTTGTGAAGATCCACATGTACGAGTAAAACTAATAAAATTTGTAGACTTTTCTCCTGCTAAGCTGCCTGGTGTCAATTTGGTTTCTAGATCTAGCCAAAAAGCCCGCATAAGAGTGAAAGGGGTATTGGAGGTGACCTCTGGCTTCGCTCCAGAGCCTTGGTGTAGTAGAATTCTCACTCTGAGGAATGAGGTGAATGCGTTTTGCATGTAAAAGACAGCTGTGAATTGCTACGGCCACAGACTGGGCTGTGGTATGTTATCTCCAAAGATGGCCGCCAATAATCCTCATTCCTGTACGTGGATGTTGCTCCTCCCTCCTGGACTTGAGACATGCTTCTACCAATGGAATAGATTGGGAGCAACATGCTAGGATTCCAGAGCTCTTTGCCTTCTGAGGATCCAACCACCACGTAAAGAGCTCGGGACTGTTTACTGAATGATGACAGAACATGCAGAGAGACTCGGCCATCCCAGACGTTCCAGTCACCCCAGCTGAGACACCAGATATGTGAGGAAAGCCATCCAGGACTCTCCATCCCCAGGCAGCCCACCCCAGCCAACACCATACGGATCAGAGGTAAGTCCTCACTGCCAAACCCTGCCCAGAATCATGAACAAATAGATACTATTGCTTTAAACCACTACATTTTAGGAGACATTATGGAGTAATAAATCCTGAAACACTTACTTAAACTTTAGTAGAGATGGAAAAGTGTAGAACACAGTTAGTAAACTCATTCCATTCTTCTTTAGTTATGGCCTTTGTGTTTTTTGTTTTTATTTTCCAGTAACTTTTGACTTTAAAATGGTGTAACTGAATAGATTCAATAGCTTTCAAAGCACCAGTGAGATCATGATTATAAGCTTAATGCCAACACATTTTGCATAAAAGGAAACAAAACTTATTTTACCCTTGACTTACATATGACATTTAAGTGTAGGCCAATGGCTACATATTTAGATAGGGTAGCTTAATATAAACTATCATGGTTGTATCAATATAAAGAAAACACACTAAAATCACCAGCACCATTTTCTTACACCCAGAGCATTTTATTCAGAAATCGTTTAGATCATTAAGTCAGTTTTCTAAAGGTAGTTCTCCGAAGCCTTATTTTTTTAAAAGAAATAAGCATATTTCTTTTTCTCATTCATTCAAATATGACAGTCTAGAAAAAACAACTATCCTGGGAAATTTCACTCTACTATTAAAAAAAAGTGGCAGTGGGTGAATTATAACTCGAAAGGTGGATTGTAACACAAATTAACCAAATCAATGCCTCAGCAGGCAGTTACAGAATTAGACCTGTAAACATGCAGGTTGTGCAAAGCAGAATTCTGGACCATGCCATTGACAGAGATTATCACGTAAATAGCACGCCCTGAAGTTGTGCAACACAGCAATTCTGTATAAAGAGCCGATTGTGGGCAAAGATGAAACACGATTTTGTCCTCACAAACCTGGCATTCTAGTAGGAGCGGAGTGACATATGATTAACAACGGCACATCTACATAAATGTAATAATGTACGTGTACTCTGGGTGCGGGTAGACTAAAAGAAATGAGCTGGAGTTTGAGGAGTGGAGGAGCAGAATACTAAGGAGTGGAAAATGCACATAAGTAAAATCATCACACACACAGAGGATGTAGCTTACCTGACATGCTGATGGATGAGTGTGGTTGAGATCCCAATGGGAAGACACTATGTCAACAGACTTTTTGGCCATGTTGAGTAAATTCATCCAGCCTTGGAAAAGTGATAAGTGAAATGGTGCATTTTCTGAATAGTTAAGGCCTTCAGGAATATTTTCCACCAGGGCAATTCTTAGAAAAGATTTTGAAAAACAAAAACAAAATCTAGTCAAATTTGAAGCCACAGATCTTTATATAGGCATACAGCAAACATCTAAAAAAGTACTCTTTACTCATTCTGAATGCATTCTCTCCTCATCATTTACATTTTTTTTTCCCCACAAAAGTCTTCTTACATTTAACCTCTACTAATCTGTGTTCTGAGAGTTTCTGGTCTATTTTTTCCATAGTTAGCACTCATATTTCAGAAAATCACAGAGTATGTCTCTAATGTCCAGTTTCAATCTAGCCTGGAAAAAAAATTGTGAGCTTCCTATACAAGCATCTTCTTCTAGTAATATATTCCTTTATTATTTCCTGGAAGCAATTTGATTCCTATATAAGATACTACTTTGCAAGCTATTTGAGACTATAAATTGAGTTTTGCCTGTCTCCAGTTTCTAAAACAATGTGGGGCATATACTGGAACTCAATAAATGCAGTTATTACTGCTGAGCATCTATTGATGCTTCCTAGCCTGTGGTGTAAAGTGACACTGAGAAGAAAATTATAAAACCTGCTTGTTTCAGGGCTTTATTAATATTAGAGCTAAGAAAACGATAAAATTATAGTAATAATCAAGCCCTAAATAAACTGCAATCAGCAATATTCTAATAAGTTTGTTTTCTCTTTTTATACTTTTTATTGTATTGACAATATATCCATTGTATTGTCATACCTTTCCTTGGCTGCATTGTTTTCACTTCTGGGTTAGGTGACAGATAACTTCTGACCAAAGGAATGAACTATTTTTTTCAGCTTTATTAAGCTTTATTTATTAATGTATATTCTCCTGCAATTCTTTTTTTGAAATGGAGTCTCGCTCTGTTGCCCAGGCTGGAGTGCACTGGTGCAATCTTGGTTCACCGCAACCTCCTCCTCCCAGGTTCAAGTGGTTCTCCTGCCTCAGCCTCCCAAGTTGCTGAGATTACAGGCACCTACCATCATGCCTGGCTAACTTTTTTTGTATTTTTCATAGAGACGGGGTTTCACCATGTTGGACAGGCTGGTCTCGAACTCCTGACCTCTCATGATCCCCCCGCCTTGGCCTCCCAAAGTGCAAGGATTACAGGCGTGAGCCACTGCACCCAGCCTCCTGCAATTCTTGATGGAAAAACCCCAAGTCCTTATGAAAATACCAGTTAAGTGCTCCCAGGACACAGATTTGCATAGTTGTATGCACAAAGCCAGAGACATAATTAGGGCTCATGAAATACTTATAGAATAAATTTCAGCTTTCAACAAAGAATTCAGCACTTCTCAATAAAATACTGAATTGTTACTCTTACTGAGACTTGTTGCATTTAGCCAGCTTTTGAAACAAAAACTATACTGCTAGTAAAATGTTCCTGTGCATTTGATCAACCTAGAATATTACAACCAGAATGGGTTCTGGGTATGTGACTCAGATAAATGTGCAATTCTGGGGTCCGATCAGCCTACCACCACCCAAAAACTTATTTAACATTTGTTGAGCCTTTATAAGCACAGGGCAGGCAAATCACTATGTGCAACACAGAAATGACTACCACAAATCTCTCTAGCCCTCAGAAACTTATAATTTAGTGGAAAAGCCTCTCTCTCATACATACTGACTCAAATAGGAGCTAGACCCTAATAAATGGTGAGGCAAGGGTAAGAAGCTTAATTAGAGGGAAAACACATCACTTAAATAATCACTGGAACATGGACAGAAAGGAAAAATTCTGATTGGGGACATCTAGGAGGAAGCTGGGCTTGAAATCTAGAGGAAGCTGGGCTTGAAATTAGTCTTCAAAGACGAAAATTTTTTATGAGTGCATTGGAAGAGAATGATAGTCTAGGAGGGAGGGAGGAGTTTGTAAAACAGAGCATGTCTGGATATTTGTGAGTTAGTGAGCCAAGGGGAACGTGAAGTCGGAAAGTTACGGTAGGAGCTTGTGATGGTGGAGAAAGCTGCAAGCATATGTAGGGACCACACTGCAGAGGTTGTGAACAAGGGAGAGGAGTTTGGACTTAATCTTGATGCATTTGGGAGCAATCAAGTGTGTTTTAGGGGACTAAGTCTGACAGTGCACCTGTACGCCACTGGCATGGAGAAAGAGGAAATAGAAGATAAGTCAGTAGAGAGTAAAGCTGCTGCCATAGTCCAGGGGAAAAAAAGAAGCTTGAATTTGGTCAATGGGAATGAAAAGCAGCATGCAGTGGACATTTTCAAGGTCAAATCTTAAAGGTTTGAGGGGCAGGTAAAGCAGAAACAATGGAGACTCAAATTTTCTTGCAAACCAACATACTGTCTCTTAACTGGGCTCCATAACCACCTCCAATGGTCTCCTCACATGGGTTCCTGCCCTTCTCCAAACCATTTTCCCTACTAGAGTTGGGTTAATCTTTTAAAACTGTGAATCCAGACACTCTGCCTGCCGCCTAATGAAACTTCCCGACTGTCTTTAGGATGATGACCTTGACCCGCCCCCACATGATTGACAAGTGTTTACCAGCCTGGCCTGCCTCTCTGCAACTTCACTGCATTCAAATGCCCTTTGTGGATTCCATACCACAGCCATATTTGACATCTTTTCTTCCTTCCCCGTTATTCTTTCTAGACTTTTGCATTTCACGTGCATTGTCCTAATCCCAGTTCCTACACTGGTTACTGAGTCATCTCCCAGTTAACTTTTAAAGTTCCAGTCCAAGCTTCACTTCTTCTGATTGGCTTCCTTATACCTCCAAACTAGGCTAGATCCCCTTAATATCAACTTCTGTAGTGACCTGCTTCTCCTCTTTCATCCTACACCTCACTCTTGAAATTACTTGATTAAGGCCTTCCTTGATGGATTATAGGGTGTGTGAGGGCAGAAACCTGTTTCGTTGGTCCAGAATTGTATGCCCAGTGCCTAACATAACTATATACTATAGTATAATTGTGCATAGTGAGTGTCCAAAGAATACATGTTGGGTGTCGTTAAAATCTCAGCTGGGAGGTGGGGAGCTGGGATCCATTAAAACTGACAAGTGGCTGGGTGCGATGGCTCACGCCTGTAATCCCAGCACTTTGGGAGGCTGAGGTGGGCCGATTACAAGGTCAGGAGATCGAGACCATCCTGGCTAACACGATGAAACCCCATCTCTACTAAAAATACAAAAAATCAGCTGTGCGTGACAGCGGGCGCCTGTAGTCCCAGCTACTGGGGAGGCTGATGCAGGAGAATGGCGTGAACCCGGGAGGCGGAGCTTGCAGTGAGCCTAGATCGCGCCACTCACTCCAGTCTGGGCGACAGAGTGAGACTCCGTCTCAAAAAAAAAAAAAAAAAGTGACAAGGAACATGGGAAAGAATGTGAATTGGGGATTGAGAGAGAGTATCAAAGAAGAAAAGATAATGAGAAAACCAGTCCAAAGCCTAACGTGGAGAAAATGCCTACATTTTTCTGGTGGTTGAGTGTGAAACTGATGAGAGGATTCAGAAGAGACCATTAGAGAAGCGGGAAGACCAGAGGGGTCCAGGAGAAGCAGCCTTCAGGAAGCCAAGGGGAGAGAGAGTTACAAGATGGAAAGGGGATTATTTGATCTACACCTCGAGGCCTTCGATGGCAACAAACAGAGGCTGAAGTTGGATATCTTAATTCTATCCACATTTAAAGCCCAATTATCTATGTTAATAGATGCTAGACATAGCATGGATAAATAATGCCAGATAATCAGTAGTTTCTGTCTCCCCTACAACCGATGGATATATTTAAAAAATAATCCAACAAACAAACAAAAACATCCTTCCAACAAAACAATGCCAAAACACAACAGCTGCCACCAAATAAAGAACTAGCTAGTTTTAATTTTACTGTGATATGATATAAAGGGTGTATGGAGAAAGACGAGGAGACACAGGAAGCCCAGATAAACCAAACATATGAAGGGAGGAATATAGTATAAATGTACAATTATAGATGGCTCCATAACATCCCCTTCTTTGTACTGTCCCTATGGCTTCTCTTAGGCTACAAGTAAGTCACGATTCCCAATCTTTTTTGGAAATCTTTAGACCAGGTGTTCTTAAAATTGGATCTATGGGTAGAATTCACGGGGATCTATGCACTTGAATTCTACATCTTTATTTTCCCTAGTCACTAACTAAAATGTAAAATTCCCTTCAGTTATGAACATAGGCAACAAGCCATAAGAATATTAATGACATCTGCAATTTTGTCTCCATTAACAGTTTTCATTTTGTGGTATAGTTATAGACAACATTTCCAAGTCTTTCTCACTACTTTGAAATTGTGGTAGTGACTGGATCTTGTTATTTCGTGAATATGACTGCAGGATACACATGAGCATAACATAAATGTATTTGTAAAAATATTCTGGTCACTTTAACATTTTTGGTGTCCTTTGTAATCCTCTGTATTTTAATATATTAATTTAAAAACATGATTCAGGGAATGATGCATAGGTTTCATCAGACTGTCAAAGGAGTCCATGGCTAAAAAGGGGTAAGAAGCCCTCATCAGATGGATAATGTAACATCGCTTCCCTTTCCTTCGATTACACACACATTCTTACAAGATTTTATTTTCCTTAGTGATTGACGCTTTAGAGGTGGGTAACATGATCAAGAGAGATTTCTTTAAAAAAGAGGACAGAGTCAAAGCCAAATATGGAAAACATCTAATCACTTCTGGTTGGTAGAGCAAGTGAAGCAAGAGAAGACAACAGAGAAGAAAGTATTGGAGATATTGGAGGAGAAGGAGAGTGAAAATTCCCTGGAAGCCAAGGAAGACCGAGTTTATTACAGTAGTCTTCCTTATCCTTGGTTTCACTTTCTACAGTTTCAGTTACAGTCCACCAAGGTCTGAAAATATTACATTGAATACATTATTTTGGAGGAAGAGACCACATTCACGTAACTTTTATTATGGTATGCTGTTATAAGCATTGTTTTGTTGTTGTTAGTTTCTTACCATACCTATTTTATATATTAAACTTTATCACAGGT